CACTAAGACTCTGTTTTCTTTGTCTTTGTGTGGTGGGTGGCAACATCCTTTTCAGAGCATGCAACCCTTAATAGTTTGGGGTTCCTTGGTGCCACTTGGTCACCGCAAACAGTGAGGCATATCTTTGCTTTTTTGACATTCAGAAGAATTTAAGTCACAAGTAAGAACTGGGGTTGGTGGGCATGGATGTTGGTAGGCAACAGTTAGGAAAGTTAAGCCCATACAATCTTTATGTTTCTCCCAGATGATTGGAACATTAAAAAACAAGCAAGCAAACACAATGAAAGACTGTCCTTTTCATTAGTGACCAAAAGGGAGTCTATGATTAAGCACAGTGCAGGACTGATAGGAGTTATATCAGAACAAGGCACTTTGGCATTGCAGTGGGAAGAGATATGAATCCTAATGATGAAATCAGGACAGTAATATTAGACCCATGCTATAAAAGATAACTTTGGAATTTGGTGATAGAGATGAAGGTCATTCTCTATAAACATAAGCATGGAATGTTTCTAGATGTGCAATATGGTAGTAATGAATAGCCCATAGGGTTTTGAATGAAGAGTATTTTCAACTGCAATATCAGCAAATTAGGCATATATACAATTGTGTTAAATTATGTAATCCCTTTAAATAAGAGGCATATTCAATTTTGTATCTTTAAAACACAGTGGCCCGTTTTTTGTTCACAAATGTGGGGGAAATTATTATACAAAAAAATACTTTTAAATCACTTAGTAACTGCCATTTGTAAAACAGAATTCCCCACTCAATATCACTTCATATGTGTAAGCATTTTATTATGTAGGGGGAGCAAAAATATGCTACCTCAAAATATGTCTTTTTGACAAGAGGTGTATTTCATGAAAGGAGCTCTAAAGGCTGGCTGGAGGTTGCTCTGATACTTATATATAAACTTATCTCTAAGAGTTTTCTCCTAGGAGGACTTAATTTCCTTATATCTTTTCAAATGGAAAAGGCAGAACTAAATGGGCATACTGTTTGTTAGTTATCCCTTCTGCAAAACCTCTCTAATCTCCCATTTTTTCACCCACGACTTCTCAAACTATCTTGACTTAGTTAAACTATATAAGATGGTCTTTGAAGTCATTTGGACAAGTTTGAAGTCATTTGGACAATGCTGAATCTGTGCCATATATACATGTTATTACTAAAACCTATTTTTATTTTTTTCTCTTATCAGTCTGTCTGATGCTTATTTGACTATTTGCCAGCCCAGAACACATAGAATAATTCCATTTACAACCCAATCATAATTCCAAATATGTGTTTATTCCAAAGTTTCTAAAAAAATTACAGTTGAAAGTAGATATAGATGTATTGGCTTATAGGTAGACCACCAACATATCACAGCACTCTTCCAATTCTGTATTTCCAGTGAATTTAGATACAGTTCCCAAGAAGTGTATCTAACAACTCACTGAGCATGTGGATATGAAATTTATGTGGAAAAAAGTATCAGGCAAAGTGTAATTGAATATATACTATGCAAATTAATAACATTTTTAACATACAGAAGATGTTCACTTGCAAATTTAAATATAAAATAAAACTTTGTATATGGACTTATGCTTCATTTATTTTCAGTTATAATTTAGAAAGTTCAAGAAACCAGAAACTTTAGATTTATTTGAAATAATATTAAGTCGACAGGCTTAACAATATTTAAAACACAAACTTATATAATGTGTTATTAACTTCACATGCATTAACTTAATACTTTAGAATAACTCTGTGAGGTAGATGTTTTTACAGGGGGCATGCACATGAGGACTCACTAACCAGGTCATCATGACACCCCTGGGTATATCCTATTTCACTCCCACAATGTTATGGTATTCTTTGTGTTAAAACATGTTTTCATCAATTCTTATTTGAAACTTTCATTGTACTGTGAGATGTTAATTTATCATACTGGAGGGAGGAGCAAATGTTTTTCCTTGTTTTCATGACAGATATTAAGGAATTATGAAAAAACTTTCATCTCTATCATATGAATCTTACTCTATTTTTTAGCTCAAAGACCAACTGGGATATATAAAAAGAAAACTATAAATGGAATACCACACAGTCTAACAAAAGCATCACAGTTAAAAGCAGCAAACAATGCTGAGGAACCCATGTTCAGCTAAAGTTATAAGCACAACTGTCTACCAGCAGTTACAGAGAGTTAGTGTTATATTTCAGCCCTTGTACAAACTCACCTGTGTGGCCAATGAGTGATATTCAAAAACCAGAAGACTTATATTAGAGATAGCAGACTAAAAACTAATATTCAATTTCTAGCCATGTTGATATAACTTTTAAATGATAGGCTAGAATACTTTTATAGATAAATTAAATAGATATAACCAATGCCCATTACAAGCCAATAATACACATATTAACCCAACAAATAATTTTTTTAACTGTGTTATCAGTATTCAGTGCAAACACCAAACCTTTACTGTCATAGTTAGGCTTATTTTGATTTTATTACATCTCTATATAAAGGTGGTGTAATGCTACTTTTCTTTCCCACCACAAACTCTAACTCACCTTTACATTACAAACATCTGACCAAACAAAATGTCAAATCTTATATAGAGAGTTTACTTGAATAGGCCCTACATCAAAGTCTTGCTTTCTTAGAAGCTGAGAAATGTTTATATGAACTAGTTTAGCAAAAAAGATCTCCAGTGGAAAATATATTGCCTTTGAGAGGTATAACCCATATTTGGAGCATGAGGCAAAAACATTTTTTTTTCCTCAAAGAAGGAATAGAAATTCAATACAGAGAAGATATACTTAGCAGCTGTATTGCATACAGGGCAAACAAACAGAAATTAAATAAAACATAGTCTGTTTTGAAAGTCAGTTTTCTTTATCATAACATAGTATTAACCATTAAACTTGATTAACAACAGTAATACAGTAATAATAACTTTCAGATGTGATATTCCAGTTGTTGTCCTAAGCACATTACACATTCCATTTTCTTATATACTCACAGCTATTTTTTACATAAGGAGATTGAATATCAGTGATTAAAGACACTTACCCAAGATTTCAGATTCAAGCAGCTGAGCTAGAATTTGTACCTGCATCTGTCAAACATTGCTTAAGATCACCGTCTTATTTTGCCTTTAAAATTTATTAGTTGGTTTTCTTAACCAGATATGGCATTTGTAGTCATAAACAAATGTGCACGCACGCACGCACGCACGCGCGCACACACACATACACATGCCTACTTGTTACATAGCTGAATGAAAAGATGACCATTATATGAAACATGGATCTCAGATATTAACAGGTCATAGTTAGGAAGCACCATGTTACTGGCTTGATGTTTTCCAGCTTTGATAAACATACAGATAAAACCAGTATGAAGGGTTTTAATGAGAAAAATTTTGGATGTTTAAGAAAAAATACTAATTAGGAGGAGTTGTCTAGTATTGCTTATCAAACCTGAGGGAAGAGAGTTTTCAGGGTTACTTGCTCTCTATTTGGGCGTTAAAACCAAGGTGTTAACCTAGAATCTAATTCTAATTAATTCTCTGTTTAATAAATGTTTTCCTATTGTTGCTGTACTTTTGTTATCCCAGCAAAATGCATTAGAATAGCACAGCTACTTCTATCAGTTTACGCCACTCAGAAGAAAACCAAGTATATCTTAGATTTTCCTTCTTCAAGATGAAGGGTAATTTTAAGTAAACATGGGTCTTCAAAGCATAAGGATAATTTTCACTCAGATAACCTTCTCCAGAACACTCCAAGAGAAGAAAAATCTATCATAATATCTACCTTCCCCGTTAATTAATAGGAATTTTCAAGATGGGAGGGAATCTTCACAAGGGAATAGTTTAATCATTCAACAAATAATTAGTAAGAAAAGGGCAATTAAGAAGAAAAAAAGGATACTATTTCTATGAAAATTTATCTATGAGACAAGACTAACCTAAAACATGGTACATATGATCAGTAATATTTCCTCCTCAAAGTTTCTATAGAAATTTGAGGGATTACAGCTACCAGAGAAGGGAGATATTTTATCTTTAAAATATAAAAAGTTTAAATGTTGATGTTGTTTCTCATTACTTTTTTCACAACCACTACTTGATCTCTTTATGTACAAGCTTTCACCCTTGTTATTCAACCATCATTTTTCCAAAAGCACAGTTTTGATTATAGCCTTGCATAGATTTAAACAACAAACGATAACAAAAGACCAATGCCTTAATAAATTGTTGTTTATATATATATTTAAATCAGGCTTCAAAGACATCCACCAACAAACGCCGTTTTAACCTTTTCAAATAATATCTTAACTCTGCCTTATCTCAGTCTATGATTTAACCTAACACCCAGTGCTAAATGTCCCTAATCATTTCTACCCCCATACTTCTTATATTTTCTCTTGAACAAAGATTACTTTATCCAAATCTTGCTATCTATATCCCATCCAACTCAAAATGCTATTTAATTTATTCAACAATATTTCTATATTACAACAATTCAAGTTAAATTTTCCTGTTTGAATTGCTCAATCTACTTTATCTTGACCAGTTATCAAGTCAACTCTACCTGAAACTTCTAGAGCCTCTGTTTATTTCTAGAGTAGGCATAAAACAATGTTTCTTACTATATTTCTGTGAAGTTTTAGTAGGAAGATACATATTAAGTATCTAAGACATTGGTATTCCTTATATGGAATGCTAGCTTTCTTTTGCTATACCATCTAAGGTGCTACACAATCTCTTCTTAAATAGAATATTCTATAACTATTCTACAACTCATTTTTCAAGTATCCTACAAAATGTATAGTTGAATTGAATACAGATGACTTGTAATTAGTGCCATATATTGTCTAAATAGGGATGAAAACAGTTTATACAATTTTTCAACTTCTGCCTGAAATAAGAAGCTGTTATCATGCAATGGAGAAAACAGTACTCAACCAGTTCACATCTGATTCTAGATCAGTAGACAACACTTACTGTTAGTGTGGCTTTGCAGCAGGCCCTTTACTTCTTTGAGTCTCCATTTTCTTCACCTGCAAAAATGAGGACATTGAACTAGATCCATTTTTTTTAACTTAATTATTTAAAAACTAGCTGATTCTATGAACTAAATTTTATGGGAGAACAAAAAATGAAAGCATAAAAACTAGAGATACTCTGGATGATACAAAGAGTAACTTTGGGACTGTCACCTTTTGGTCTCTTCCTGTAGGTCAGATTAAATCTAATCAGGGATTGACAAGGAACTCATGAAGAATTGTGATATCTAATTTTTTATTTGGGTCTATTCACAAAGGATATATAAGACATTACAAATGTTATCTATTCATCTGTTAAGGTATATTTAGACTGCATCTATGTCTTGCTATTTGAATAGTGCTGAAATGAACATGGAAGTGATCTCTCTGAGATTCTGATTTCATTTCTTTGGGATATATATCTAGAAATGGGGTTGCTGAAACATAAGGAATTTCTATTTTAATTTTTTTGAGGAAACTTCATACTGTTTTCCTGGCCATGCTTATGGCTCTTCCAATTTACATTTCCAAATATTCACTGTCAGAAGAAAGGATAAAGAAATGTAACACACACCAGTGGAATATTAATCATACTTAAGAAAGAAGGAAATCTTGCCAATTGTGACAACATGAATAAGATTAGGGATATTATTGTAAGTGGAATTAAGTCAGATGTGAAAAAACAAATTCTGCATGTTCTCACTTAAAGTATGAAACCCAAAATTGTCAAGCTCATAAAATCAGAAAATAGATGGTGGTTATCAGGGACTAGGGGGAAGTGGATACAGGGAAATGATCAAAGAATAAAATGTTTCAGCTATACAATATAAATAAGTTCTAAAGATAAATTTACAACAATGTGACTCTATTTAACAACATTGTTAAAATAAGGATAAATTGTAAGAATTTTCAACATGCACACCCAAAATGCTAATTATATGAGGTCATGGATGAAAAGTCAATGAAGGGGCCAGGAATGAAATGGCCCACACAGGAAAATAGAAGATGGCCCTGACACCATTACCACTGACACCATCACCACTGACACCATCAAACAGAAACTGAAGCCATAAACAGGAGAAAAACAATTCAGCTCCATGAAAAACAACTTTGTTCTGCCTAAACCTGTTTCCAGCCCTGTCAACCCAGTTCTCCTACCTAACCTCTCCTCACCCTATAACAATGACCTTTCCCTTGATGAGGGACACAGCTTCTCTGACCCCATGGGGATCAGCGAATCTCGCCCAGGGGCGCAATAAAGTTTCTGCCTGTTAGAAACTGGCCTGGTTCTCCTTCTCTTTACTGCGCCAAACCTTTCAGTGGATATGGTAACTAGTTTAATTGCAGGGTACATTTCACCTTGTATATATTTATCAAACCATCAAACTGTATAGCTTAATACATATAAATTTTCAAAATATATGCTAAAGTAGCCATTTTTAATGTGGGAAAATTGTTTGAGTGCCAGATTTTAAGGCAATCTATAGTCACTCAATATTTGCAAAAGGTATTTTGAAGTACAAAAGTTGTATTATATGTAATTATATCATCTAATTAGCTGAAAATTCCAATGTGAAATTCTATAACCCTAATGATTAAATAAAGAAAATACACATTACCCTATAAAAGGCAATACAGCTAACAAATAAAAGCAATCATATACTGATATTTTATGTTTTAAACACCAAATTTGACTCAACTCTCATATGGATAAGTTGTCTTCAAACTTTCAATATTACTACGAACCTGTCAAGACAATGACAATATTGTAGAATGGTCATGGTGGAAAAGTTTTGCAATAATTAAACATGTTCTTTGGAGTCAGGTAGTGGTTTTAACATTTTAACATCACGTTTCTGGGAAATTTACTTAACCTGTCTAAGCTGCAGCTTATCTGTAAAATGCAAATAATAATATTGATCCTCCTTGCTTATGTGTTCTTATTTCAGTATTACTAAGTAATATTCACTATAAGAAAACACTAGCTCATATTAAGAGCCTAATAAGTATTAGTTCCCTTTTCTACTTTTATATAATTTCATATGATATAGTTAATGTTTTTCAGCATAGAATGTGAAGCAATGTTATCAACTCAACTTTTTAATGGTCTCTTTCACAGTTGTTTCTTACTTTCTAACCTTTGGAAGCTGTTAAAATAAAGTCAAATAATGATACTGCTGTGGCATAAGTGTATGCTAGGATCAATAAATTGTGGTTGTTGGAATAAATTGCAATTAAAGGGGGTAGTGCTGGATTGCTTGACAGTAGGTAGTCTTTCTGGCCCAAATAAACTCAAGTATCAGTCTGCTTTATAAGTTAATTAGTATGGACATCACATGCATTTCATTGGGAGGCCATCAGATCATATCGACTTCTGTCTGCATCATGAGTGTACACTTGACATTTTTAGGTGTCACTTGTAGTTGATAAGTCTTCTTTACTTGCTTATGTATTATTTATTACTTTATTATATAGTCATCATTTATGCTCAGGTACAATATAGAAGAAATTGAACATGTTTGTAAATAAACACTGTAACAGTTGTAAAATTTCCAAACTGTCACTGTCATTTTCCTATTTCTATACAGTTAAGGAAATTGTATGAATGAATTTAGAAGTGACAAATGCATCAAAATAGTAAAGAAACATGATTACTGAATATTTTCAGCAATAGAAAATACATATAGGCAATTTTAGGCTAGAAAACAACAGGATAATTTATAAAAATTATTTAAACAATCAATAAAAATGAGCAAAATTTTTGTCTCCAAAGAAAGAAGTATACTTATCTAACATATGAATTTGTGGATCATTAATTCTTAGCACCTCCTATTCAAAGTAATGTTTTATATTAAGGAATTTCAACAAATACCTGCATAATCATCTATTGAATACAGAACATTCATTGCCTAAAGCAAGGTAGTTTAAGTAACCCTTTAGATTTTAAAGCCATTAAGACATTCAATTTGTGTGTTATCCTCCATTATATATTACTTTATAGTATATATGTTAGAGATTAACTTTTTGTTGGATGAACAAATGGAAAAAGCACAAGACCACACACACAGTATACCTTTTAAAATATATTTTTTTCCCATTTAGAGAGCGCTACCTCACACCTTTTGTAATGCCACATTTGATAAAACAAGCAAAAGTCACAAACACAAAAATTTCCCTGATGCCATCCCTCAACTCTTGTCTCATATTTGTGTTAGATATTTATCTTAAGTTCTACTGTTAAACCCAGTAAATCATCCATCATATTTATTGTAGTAAAATTATGTAACTTTGTGCCCCAGCCTCATTTCTGTTTCCCTACATCTCCTAGAAGGGAACCTTTGTGAAGACATACTAAAACGACTAATGTTCTGTAATTTTTGTTTTTTTTTTTATACTCTGCTGAATTTCATTCACCTACCATTTATATCTGAATGAATAGGTTTTTAAAAATCTGGATTAAATTGTTATTCTTTTCCATTCTAATTTCAATGTTACAAGATTAGAGTTGGGGACAGTAATTGAGAGAATCTTTTCCGCATATGTGCAGGATGATCTGCTGAGTGGAGAGAGCATCTTGCTTCCCTCTCTTTGAGTTACATTTTTTGAAGTCTCTAGTGAAGATAATGTTCAGGTATAGATCTGAAAGTGAGAGGAACTAAAAGTCCACAATGTGTGCTTTTGCATTGGCTTTACAGAACTGTTCAGCTCTGACTGAACTTGGGTCTTTCCATTAATCTAATATTAATTTGTTTGAAATCTGGCTATAAAGAGTTAGTGTTCATATTCTCCATAACTGTGGTGTCATTAAGGCAAAGCAAACGTTTAAATACTTTTTTTAGACAGCTTTCCAAATCCTGTATCATGAGAGCTAAAGATAATTGTTTTCTGTCACCTGTCCATATGATACACACATTCAAACTTGTACCTTTCTCTCATTTTCATTTTATGAATCAGATAACTCACTCCCATCCCAGTGCTATTCACTTTTCTTATTTGTTCTTAACTGTCTTTACACTACATTGCTTTTCACTAGCATGAGTCCAGAACTAAGCCTGTAATTTGTGAGTACATTTTGTTTATCATTCTGAGTATTTTCTTCTCTCAGATTGCTTTTTATGAGGCAATGTTAAGATCAGTTGTGATTCTAAATGTAAATTATCTAAAATCACCAATCACATATGAAATGCATATGACCAATGTACTTCACATGAAATGTTATCTAGATTTTAAGAGCACCAATTAATTTTAGGCATGACAAATGTCAGCATTTGAGATGTATAAAGTAGAATTACTTTTATTTAAAACATTGTAATGAGTGCCTCCCCGGTGGTGCAGCGGTTGAGCGCTGGGTTGCGAAGCTGCCCCGCAGCCTCTGCAGCGCCAGTTCGATCCCCGATCTCCCGGCTGCCGGGCAAGGGTTCCACATGGCACACAGACCTCTCCTGCCGCGCCCACTGCTCCCCTCAGCAGTGTACTTCCTTGGTCTGCCTGTTCTCTTCTCCATTCTGGCTCTGGTGAATTCTCTCGCCTTCCCCTGTACCCAGGGCTTGTACAAATAAATAAATCTTTAAAAAAAATTGATAATGAGCACATACTACAAGTCGTAAACAAGATCCGACCCACACATGGCACATATCACAGCTCAGTCCAAATTGTCACTCTGAGTAAATAAATGGCCTCTGAATTCTTCTAAGAACTGTTTTTGATTAATTATATTATGAAAGAGAAAACTTGTCATTTCTGCATTAAAAAATGTACCTTCTAGTTTATGCTATTAAAACTAAAAAATGGTTTACCTCCCTTATTTACATATAGCATGCAGTATATAATCCTTTATTTTCAAATCTTTCAAATATTTTCTTTAAAAAGAGAAATGCAATTACTGCAACTTGGAAAAGTATGAATATGCAAATGTCTACAGTCACACATAAAAATGCACACATATACACATATATGTACACACACAACATATTTTCATTTCTAATTTCAGTACCTGGAGATAAATGTTTCAGTTA